ACGTTCTTTATAACTTAGAAACATTGAAGTTAGATCTGCTGGCAGCTTAATGAAAGTAAATGGCTATGTCTTTTAACTGTCAAAAAAAGAAAGCTGAAGACAGCCTCTATAGTGGTAACAACTGCTGCCCCTGGTGTTTTTTTTGTCTTCCCTTTCCTTCCCATCTATGATGAGAAATTATATAGAATTGAAGAGAGGGGATATTTTCTGCAGTTACTAAAGGTGTGGATGTTCCAGATAACTGCTGAGAATTTCACGTGCTGTGCATCGTGCCAGTTTTGGTGGCAGCTGGAGAAGGTGGAGATGTTGGGGTTTGTGGAGTTCATGTTTCTGTTTTAGCCTTGGAAGGGTACTTGTACTGCAAGATGAAGAAGGAGACCACCCAGAGGAGCAGGAGGCATCAGCTGAAACATATTACTACCCTGGTTTTCCAATCTCTTTTTCAGCATGATCTGCCCAGCAAAGACAGGTGCATTTTAAAGGTATCTGAACGAGAAAAAGGCAGCCTTCCAGGCCTGCAGAAGGGTTTCCCAGTTCTGTGTGAAAGAAATTTCCCTAAAGTGGGGTAAGAGGTGGAAGGACACTGACTTCAGCACTAGCTACAGAGCATCTGTTCTCCCTTGACATTATTTAAGAGATATCACAGTGAAAAGGGCAAATCTTAATAACATGCACCATGCAGTGGAGAAAGTCATTGGACTCTGAATATTCAGCAGTGTCTCGGTCCAAAACAGCCATCAATCCCCTGTGAAGAGACTTGCATGGAAAGATATTTGGAAGGGTAGAAACAGGCTTGTGTTGTTTGAGTGCTGTCCAACAAAGGAAACAGGTCTTTTAAAGATGAAGTCCCAATTTAATTTTTCAATATTCTTACACTGTAGTTCATGAAAATTGAAAATCCAGAACAGTGCATCAGAAAAATAATTCTATTGCATGAGTATATGGCTAAGCAAGCACAGGTAAAATTGATAAGAAAACACCATGGAAATACTTAGCTATTGACTAGCAGCCAGTTAGGGAGCAAGGGAAACCCGAGAGGAACAAGAGAGCTTGTCTATTTACTTGCCGTCTTCTAGGAGACTCTCCTCCTTTACACAAAACTTATTGAAAACAGCTGCAGATATCGCAAGCAGCCCTCACCAGATTGTACCTCTGTGAGCAGCAGTTGCCTGTCCTCTGTTCGAAGGTTGTTCACATGCCCAGCAGAGCAGTGTGCTGTGTTGACTGCTCCAAGGTTCCTGTGAAAGCCCTGCACAGGACCGTTGTCTTCCTCTCTTCATGGGTAGAAGAAGTGAGCAGTGGAAGCCAGTGGATCTGGTGCTCAACCTGGTTGAGCCTCATGTTTTGCTATGCCTCCTGGTGTCTTGCTTTTGAGGCATTTGGGATGTTTGCCATACAATGACTTGGTCTTGGGTCTGCCCAGGGGAGTTGCCTCCTAATGGTATAATACTGAAGACTCCTGCTGCGACAGCTGGAATCGAAGTCCTTGAAACATATTTCCAGGTAGCCACAAAAAGACGTGTTTGTAAGTTTGGTACTTTGGAATTACGTTCTCAGCTGGTAGAGCAAGGGTTAGTCAGCATTGTGAAGCTACAGGGGGCTGTTCCAGCAGCCTGGCTTAGCCTGCTGGGAAAATGAGGTGCTAAATACCGAATGTGGTGCAATAAACACCATCCAGCTTCTAGAGTGAAGACAAGGGAACTTGCAGAAGACCCAGAAAATAAACAGAGAACCGTGGGAGAACTGTATGTGGAGAAGCCGTGCAACCACAGTACAAACTGGTCCTGTAAAAATGCAAGCAACAGTGGACACAAGTGTGTACCTGGAACTAGAGCAAAGAACACAAGTCCCGACTGTCATCACCTCAGGAAGGCAGCACAGGAGCTTTCGATGTGGATGAAAGGGTGGCAGGGGGCTAGGATCTGTGGTATCACATACACAGCCTTTGACTTTGGGAACTTGTTGGGTTTTTTCTCCTTGAAAATGGATGCAATTTCACTTTAATTTTTCTTTTAGATTATCTTATATATCAGAACTTGTAAGGTGAGGCAACTAAAGGTCTCCTCTGTTCAGCATTGCTTTCTTCTGCAACGGTATTTTAGAACACAGTTTGTGAGGGTAGGAGTGAGTTGATAATAGATTTTTTTTTTAATGAGAGTTGGATCTTTTTTGGTGGAACTTTGAGTGAGCTTGTTTTCTGGTTATCAGGCTGGTAAAGATATTGAGATCTAAGAATCTAAGGTTTCTGAATCAAAATGGAATACTATTGAGCAACAGAAGTTATGTTAAGTTTGAATAAAAGGATCCCCAGAAAACTAGGCACTGGTATTCAATGCTTATTTTTCTTTAGTACCCCCAACTTACTTTTCAAAGGGACTGGTAAAATCACATAAAATTGAAAATTTACTGCTTTAATATGTTTCAGAATTCAGTGACAGCTAATGAATGATTATGTAGGCATTTCAGTTTATATGGTCAGCTAACCATATGATATTTGCGTGCTATATAAACATTTTCCCAACAGAATTCAAAGACTTAAAATCACAGCAAACAAACATTGTTTTTTTTTCTTATTTCTGAAGTTGCTTGGGGACAGTAGTGAGCCTAGTGAATCTGAAATTGTGACCAAATATCAAAAATTGCTGCAAAGGTATAAAATATGTTAAGTACCAGAATGCAAGAGGGTTTAGTCTAGCGTGCTTTGCAGAGCTGCTAGGACTGTCCCGAGTCACTTGTTTATCACAGTTTCCTTCGGCATCATGCTGTTACTGGATGGTTCAGCAACGCGTTGTGAAGGTGCTCTGCAACAGTATCCTTCATTCTGCATTAATGTGCCATCAGGAACAAATAAAATGGCTCTACTTAGAGATTAGACCAATCTTCACTGTGGTTTAGGATGAGTAGGAAGGAGGCATGAGTTAGGCCACTGATAATTAGGTAACAGCCAGATAGCTCTCTTGAACAGACCGTTCATGCCTGGTTCCCGTGACAGCCTTGTAAGGAGCGTATTTCTCTACACTCCTTAGCTCTCTGAGCATGGCTGCTATGTTTCTAAAACATTGGTGCTAGAACTGGCGTGCATCCTTGAGGTCCTTTTGCCTTGTGTGCTGAAGGAACAGGCCAGAGGGAGAGGAGGAGGCCCTCTTGCACAGCCCTGTCATTGTTGACAATGTTCTGAGATGTGAGGAGACAACCTGGGAGAAACTTTCATTGGTAATTTCCAGCAGTAACAACTGTTGCCTCCAGCAGAATTTTGTCCCATTTTCAGTGGTGCATGCTATTTGTGGTGTCAATCTGTTTCTGACTAGAGCACTGAAAATATTCTACCAGTAATACCATCCAGGTGTCTATGCTGCTAGGACTCCAAAATTTTAATTTTTTGTGGCCACTATTACAAGCACCAACTATTTACATCTGTTTCCTAGTTTGAATGTCCTTAAATCAAGTGTTGCCTGTTACTGGGTAATATCGAACATTTAAGCAAGGCTGGGCATTTTGAGTGCAAAGACTCAGTTCATTTTGCCCTCTGGCATATACACCAGAACACTGTGTTTGCACTTGGGCATGCTGAGTAGGATACACAAAAGGAAAAACAGATTGATAGACAGAAAAATAGATCAATGTGTAATGCTTGTGCAGGACAGGCTGAAGAACAATGTACAAAATCTCTTTATTAGAGAGAAAACATTGACTGGGAATTTGCTTTTCTGCCAGTGAGTACCTCATGGTGGGAAAAAAATTAATTCTCTTTCTGAACTGGGGCATTCTGTTGCCTCATGTTACAGATCTGTGACTTTGTCTGCTTACCAGGTTTAGGACCATATTAAAATTGTTTTCAACATCTTTGTTACTTAACCAAGAATTACTGTTAAAATTTGAGCTACTTGTAAAGTTTCCACTCAGTTTTGGGTAGGACAGTTCTTTGCTGTGAAAGTGGGTAGTTTTATCCATCTCTTGTGCACCTAGGGGAGGTCTTGGCTAAGCTTGATCATACCGCTTGTTCCAAAGCTGAATCTAGCTCCTGTGAGATGTTCCCTTCCCAATCCACAACAATAAAGTTTTGGGGGGAGGTAGGAGGAATCACTATCTGATGAAGCCCACCAACAAGGAACATTGCCAGAAGATGAGCCTTTAGCATGTCAGTCTTAGCTTTCTGTTTGTGGGCAGTCAACCATGGCTTTTGATGATGTGTTAGCAAACTCCTGGGCAGGAATCATCTTTTAGTGTAGGAATTTTTCCTGTTAATTTTTTCTTCTGTATGACATAATTTCTCCATAACTTATGGCAAGCTCATTGCCAGTCCTCAGAAGTCTCCTTGAGTAAACAAGATTCATCCTGCACTATCATCTTCATACTAGGAACCATGGGCAGTCTTCTGAAAAGGATGCATGAGCTGTCGCCAGTTGATATTTGTAGTTGCTGTTTCTGGAATATATTCCTTTATCTTGTTTTAATTCTCTGAGATTTTCTGAAGCAAGTATCTCTCATACTACAAGAGCCATTAAACTTCTGAAACAATGCAATGGAATGCTAAGTAGAATAATGAAAATATATTTGTGTCCTCCTCGAGCCTGTTTATGCTTACAGACTGACTGAAACCAAGCTCCTTTTCGTGCTTTAAAAATACTTGATTATTATGAAGGATTGTAAAAGTCAATACATTTTAAATGTTAACTATGAACTTGAACTAACAATACGTATGAAGACACTGCAGGGTCTGCTAACTGCTACTTATTATGTGGATAGACTTTCTTGAACGTGTAGGTATTATTCCATGCCAGGGTATCTGCACGTTTGTATGTGATGTGAGGGAAGCAGTGCAGCTGGGTGGCTTGACATGGCTACAGTGCATGCTTTTGTGTAATCAAAGAGTTCATCTCCTGCTCTCCTTTACTGCAGTTTCACATCCCTGAATGTCCATCTGTTTCTTGAAGATGAAGAAAATGATTGCATGCTTCTTTCTGCTGTTCGGACACACTCTGCTTTCCACCATCTCTGTCATGGCAAAAGATCTCCCTGGAGGACATTTCATCCGAAGAAGGGATGTTCGCTCACGATCCCTACTAGGTAAGTTACAAAACGCCCCCCAGAAACCCAAACACCACCACCAAAGGCCATCTCAAATACAAATGATATAAGGCATTAGCAGCTGTCCAAACCTTGACTGAGTTAGTTTAGAATAAAAAGGAGATTCCCATTTGCAAGCAGGAATATGAGAAAGTTTATTGACCAATTAGCAGCTGTTGAAAGAAGGTGTTTACTTTTGGAGTACTAGATCTGCTTTCTGTAAATGGTGTGAAATAAATATTTGCTACAGGATTATTGTCTTGGAAAAAAGACCTTATTTTCACTGTTTAGAGAATACATATATTGGTCCATGAAGGTTCTGTCAAAGCTGCCTTTTACCATGCCAACAAGTTTTAGCTGTCTATGTGCTGTGCCTAGTGATGATTGAATGGAAGTCAATGGCTATTGAAATGAATCTTGTTATTACATTACTTGATGTTAATCCCTTCATTTTGTCAGGTTAATTTTACTTGTAATGAGTACCTCATTTTTTCCTCTTTTGCCAAAAATCTGAGGACAGGATCTAGTGGTTTTAGCTTGTGGCTGTCAGATGTTAAAACACAAGGTTCATCTCTCTCTTGTTGATCATTGCTTGTACAGCATAGAGCAGTTTGCTGGTCAACTTTTTCATCTGCTAACAGTTCATGACTTAGAATGATTGTTTTTGCTCATTGTTTAAAGTAATGGTCAGATTATGAAAACATAGCATGCATAGGTCTTTGGACATGGCCCATCATTAGGGATGCATGATACACATCAATAGTAGATCTAATCATACATCTCTCTCCAGCGACTGGGAGATGTTAAGTGGCCTGCCTCCCCATAAAAGTCACCTAACCTAGGTGAACATGAGGAATGTGAAATGTCCTGCAGAAGATGTGTTGGGAAGAAAGAAGAAGAAACAAAGCCAGAACATGGGAGAATGGGTGACAGAGATGGGAGCACCAAGTTTTATCAGTGAAACTCTTCCCCAAACAAAACGTAATCTTTTAAATATGTAAAATTCCATGAAGTACCATTCATAATCTGCACTGTTTTAACTCAAAGCCATTGGTTTTCAATTCTAATAGAAAAAAAAATATGCCAAATGACAACAGATTCCCATTTCTTATTCATCTTTCTCAAAACTAATAGATGTGGTCTTGAGACACTTGGGGTTCTGCAACTGAAAGATGAACACCACAGCTCTGGAGATCTAGTCCATCAGAAAATATGGATGTAGCACAGCAAAGAGAAATTCCGGTATTTACAGTTAACTCAGCAAGACTCTCAAACTTTCTAAAATCCTAAATTCTAAAATGTGATTAAATAGCAGCCCCTCCTGAATATTTTAGGGTCCCCAGCAAATACCTTCAGTGAACTTATTATTTAAGAAATAAACTACCTGTCTCTCTAGAAAATGAATGCAATAGCAAGGTGTTATGTGGAGAAACTAAAAGGTGTCACATTTCTCAGCTTGCCTTTTTTCCCCTATGATTTTTTAAATTGCTTTTATAGCCTCTTTTATCATTTTAAATTATGGAAATGTATCAAAAGAATTAGCACTCAATATAAATCAAAATGTATAGATTAAATTATTTTTCTTTTTTCAAAAGCCAAGTGATTTGTGGTCCCTGCATTTGGAAAATTCTGGATCCCTGTTCAGTTTGGCATGTGCAGGATACAAACAATTCTGGCAGCTCTGGCTGAAAGAACCTTTTCAAGACATTAAATTGTGCAGGAAACTTGGGACATTCTGTGGTCCAGCCCATAAAAGTACGTGGCAGTTTGGAGTCAGACTCTTGGGCCTTGCATTCTGTTACAATAAATTAGGTCACCTTCTTCAAATTCAGCAGCACATATAAACAGTGGCATGGTTAAAACGTGCCTCTCTGTAAAGAACAGAATGTGTAAAATGCATGCCACTCTGCTGGAAAGCTGTAGTGTTCCTCAAATGACATGAGAAAGAGCAGGGCCAAACCATGATCTCAGTGACATGAAGTCTATTGACTTAATAAAATCACTCCAGAATTACAGCAATGTAACAGGGGTTGGAAGCTGTCCCATTGTGTAGAATATGTATATTATAAATAGTGGTGGCAATGACAATTGCTGCTGTTGTGGAAAGACTTGGCTGGCAGGCACAAGTGAGCAATATAGCTGCAAAGAACCAGCAGATACCTGGAGAAGTAATAAAAGTTCAGGTTAGTTGTGGTTTTTTTTTTTTTTGTGGAGGTCTCTATGTTTTTAGGACTAAAATGAAGGATTATGCTATGTAAGTATTAGTAGTGTCAAAATAATTTTGTTCCTTTTTTCTTCATTTTACTAATTTTAAAAACAAAAGCATACTGCTGTGCTAGCTATTTACTGGTAAAATACTAGTAGTTCCATGTACAGAAGTAAAAGTCTTTGCTCCAGCAAACTGACAACAATAATAAGCGGAATGGAATGGATGAAAAATCCTGTGGGATTGTCCACATAGAGATAAAACTACTTTGGGATCCAGCTTTAGGAGGATTTAGTTTTTTGGCAGCCATGCACTAATACTTCATAGGCTTCTTAATTGTCTTGTTAAGGCTAATAGCCTATGCATTTTAATGAAGGTTTCAGAAGGAGTGAGCTATGCCTTTTCTATGTTTTTCTTATCCCCTGTCTTTCTGCTAAACCTCAATATATTTTGTTTTAATTTGGCAGATCTTTGCTTCGTATATTGTTATTTAAAATTAGTATTCCTATAGCTAATAAATTCTGTTAAAGAACTGAAATCTTTTGTGCAAGGAGCAATTGGACATAAAGTTTTTGGAACTGTCACTATGTGGCCCTTGAAAGCCAAACTGCTTTGCAGGTTTTTCTTTCTTTGAACACCGAATCAATTCCAAAGTATTTAAAACTTGTCAATTGTGCAAATTTAACGAAATTTTTTACAATTTTCTTAAATATTTCTTGCAACTCACTAGTTGCAGATCATGTGTAGTTGCTTTAGAGATAGAAAGTATACATGTATATCTCATAATAGCAGAATTTGTATTAGATTGCTGGAAAATACTGTTTTAATGTAGGTGTATTTATTTTTAAAGGATAGCTTTCATAGTCCTGCAAGATCTTGTGAAATAACAGAAAGAAGTAGGATGATCCATTTGTCTTTCCTGTAGCAGATGGTGGTCGCTTCTCCCCTTGAGTGACGTATGAACTAAATTTTGCCTTCTCTTTCCCCTCATCAGCAATTTGATCTTGGGTATTGGATCTCTGGCCTTATTCTGATTCCTTAAGGGAAATTAATCTTTTGTTTTAGAATCTTTTCTTTCAAAGGCTATATCAGAGCTCCGAGGAGTTTTTACTTAGCGCTCTGACAAAATCATTGCTCCGGCTGAGCGCAGCTGCTCTGTTAGATTACACACTGACCACTGAAAGCACAGTTTGCCAGCTTAGCATTACTTTTTGGATAATAAAGAAAAACAGTAATGGAAATATATTTGGCTGCATGGTTTTACAGATAAAATTTTGTTTGTTACATTAGCTAATTCCCTTCAGATATAACTGAAATGGACTTCTGCACCTAAACATGCTGAGGAAGAGCTGTATCAGTTGTCCAGAGTGGTGATTTCGATACTGTGATTTCAAGGCCACGGTCAGAGGTCCACAGCACCTTTCAGCAGGTTCCATGTTCAGAAGGAACATGTGCCCGTTCCTTGCAAGATGTAGCTTTTTTTGGGTTTTGATGTTGTGGGTTTTTTTGGTGGCATGGATTTTGGACTTATGCCCTACTACATATTAATCATTTATTATAAAACAAAGCAAAGCAAGATTTCAACATAGTGGAAAAAATACAGGTTCTTGTTTTATTTTTTTTTCCTTGGTGAACTCTGTTCTTGTAAACTGGGCATGTATTTCATGTCACGTGGGCATATTTCTTTGGAGAGCTCTGAAGTGGTTGCATGGGAGTAATTGAATAAGCTGTAGAATAATATTCTAAGCAATAACTTTCCTTCTGTTCCTTAGGAATATTAAACATGCACCTACCTCTTTTTGAAAATAATTGTTTATGTGAGGAGAAGAGCTAATTTAGGGGACATTCCTTTAGATACTGCGTGATACCAGAAGGAAGAAACTACAAGAAATTAAATGATAGCACACAAAATTGAAACAGAGAGGTGAAAGGAGGCCAAGAAGGAAATGTTCTCGGCTCCTGTTCAGTAGAAACTGCTGCTAAATGCAAATGTCCCTCTGTGTTAAATTATATTTTGCAACAAAATATATAATGGTTTCTCTCTTGGTTGTATATATATGATTCCTCAAAGAATGTGAAGGGAAGTAATATGAAGTACACAGAGTGCTCGCTAAATTCATGAATCACTCGCTACAGTCAGTTAAAATTATTCCAAACATTCTTATATCCAACCCAGTTCTTAAACTTGTGTGTATGTAACTTTAATGCTTAAGAACACTATCAGGTTAACCATTCTGGTTAAGTTTTAGCCGCAAATCAGAGAGGAAAATATGCAACAAAAGTGAGCCTGGTCCATGATGCCTCTAGGGAGAGCAGGTAAAATTTCTGTTTAGCTTTGGTTGAATTCATTGTACATTTATACACTGAGAGTTGGTCAGAGATCTCTAAATCCTGCTGATGCAGAGTGCTGAACCACCATGGGATGACAACTGCTACAAGAAACTCATTCACAGCCTCAGCATGTGTGTGTATTATTTCTTCACATAAATGCAACCCTGCGAGTTTTTTTTCTCCTCAGACATATTGAATAGACTCATTGTAACTGAAGTCTCCATTGCAATTGAAGGGAGAATTTTGTCATAATAACTACACCATGTGTTCAACATACTATGCTGGTATAGTATTTGGGGAGATTAAAACTATTCCAGGCAATAGATAAAAGTAGAAAGAGGTTGCAAATTACATCTTTTGAATTATTACGTATTTAGTTAAAATGTAAGCAAAATCCTAACCAAACTTTTATAAGTATACAAGGTAATCAAACACATATCAGTTTAGACTCTCTAATCAAAAC